TAGACGTGGCAGGGGGGCGGTTTGACGTAGAAGTCAGCAATGTTGTAATTAGATTGAGAAGCGGCGGCGACGTCCGGCGAAAGCACTGAGTATTGACTCCGGATCCTGTTTTTCTTCATTGCTCTGTAGAACATCGGAATCAAACCCTCCATTGTTGTTGAGTTTCGTCCACCGCAGAAACCAGTTTTGGAAATGGAAGACTTTTCAACGCGTGTTTGGTTGGGTTTGGGTTTCTTGGGTGGGTATATATATTTTTAAATGCAACGCCCACCACTACGCAAATTCTTTCTTTGGTGAACAAGTCCAACACGTCATTCTCCTTTTTCCTTTTTTTTTTAATTCACACAGCCATCGCCTGGTGACTTGATTTTCCTAGAAAATAATAATGGATTTACTCAATATATGTGCTCCCCTGAGTTGGTGTGTATATAAATAAAATATACCATACCCCAATGGTTTTTGAAGAAGTTCTCTATGACAGGTGATTTTGCTTTCTAGAATTTCACGCTCTAAATAACAGTTATTTATAATATTAAATAAATTTAAGTGAGACGAGACGACTCCACTAATTTTGGCCCTACACAACCACTTGAAAAAATAGTTAGAAGTGATAAAAACAAAAGATATTTGAAGCATGTTGAGCTAGAAAGATTTTCGATGTAATTTATTATTTTGAAAATCTTTGGCCATATCAGTATAATTTATTTAATCTTCGTATGAGCAATCAAATTTATAATAAATAAATAATGTAGTGGGGGTAATAGTACATCCATGCTTGCCCACCCAACAAAAAAAAAATGGAGCAATAAATTTGTTAATTCCTCACATGTCGATTTTCTTTTTCTTTTTCTTCTTTTTTTTTTAAATTAAAGTGAATTTCTAGCGACAAATCAAACAGGTTCTCCATTTTTTGTCCTAAAACATAACTACATGAACAGATTGAATTAAATAATTTAACTAGAGAGAGAAAGAGAGGGTTTAATGGAGATCGAACAAAATGTACATCTCATATGAGTTTCAAATTTAGTATTATAATAAGGAGTGGCATGGGCATCGGGGATAGGGATCAGCTTATTTTATTCCTTCATCGTTATCTTACCGTTGAAATAAAAGTTAAAAGGAAAAAAGAAAAAAAGAAAACATAAGCTGTGTCCTAACTTCTATTGACTTGCTTGCCATTTAATTAGTTTGTGGCAACATCAAACAGAATAGAATAGAATAGAATAGAATAAAACAAAACATGGCATTCAGTAGGAGAGACCATAGAATCAACCAAACCCATGATTGATAGGAAGGAAAGAGATTTGAATTTTATTTCGAAACAGGCTTCTTGATGAGCTGTCTAAAGTCCAAAACCAAACACAGTTCAGTCCTATCAGAAAATCAGCTGCTTCTGATATTCTTTTGTTACTACAATAAATAAGTCGAGAAAATTTGCTATACGAAAATACCATACTCCTTCCATTTATTCCTTCCATTTATATAATAAATAGAAGTGATGTGACAATTGAAAGAAGTATAGTACTCCATAGTACCAGAAATTTTTTTGTGACTGTGGTTGTGGTATTGCAATATTTTGAAATATAACCAAAAACAACTTTGGTACCTGTCAAAATAGAAACCAATTCCACTTTGATGGTATTTTTTCTTTGAAAGCCTAATCCATCTCTATAATATAGCTACCACCCACTCACCCTCTACATGTTACAACAGTAATAATGTTTTACCAGACAAGTTTCCCCAAGGTAAGTGTCCAAATAGTCCCAAAATTTAGTATAATGACAAAATTTAAGTAGTTCTTTTTCCTTTTTTTTTTCTTTTTTTTTTTATCAAATTCATAGTCATGTTTTTCTTTAAATCTAACTTTTTACCCAGATCTAAATGTTCGATTATAACTTTTTTTTTATATAGGAAACGAGTAAATATATTAAAAGTTGAGAGAACTGTAAAAGGAGGGGATGAGAACAAACAGTTTCATGTGGTTCCAATAAACACCAAAAAATGATAATAAGAACAAGAAACTTCAGCATGCACCTGAGCAATTTGGCCAAGTTCTTGACGCAAGGTCTTCGTTTCATCGGTTAATATTCGCTTCTGTTCTAAATAATTAAACAAATTAGTTGCATGTGGTTTCCAGTATTCAATACTCTGAACTTCTCTGGCATAGAATGGGTAAATATAAAATATCAGAAGCTCGTTGACCACTCAATTCCGTTTGCAATTTTACACAAGGAAACTGGAAACAGGTCATTTCCTAAGAAGCAAACACTTAAAAGTTAAAACCGATGATTAAATTAAACTGTAGCGCATAATGTTAGCTCAAATCATAAAATATCCAATTTATTTTCTTCATATGCGACTCCTTTTCTTCGCAGAGTAACTCCTATTTCATCCTCCACACAGGAATATGAAAGCTAAATAAATTACCATTTTAATCTTTATAGTTGGTGATTGGTTTCAATTTAATCTTTTCCTTACGGTTTTATAAGTATCAGTTTGGTATTTGTAGTTGGTTAAATCTCTCAAAAGTTATCGATGTTACCAAATGTTATTAACTTTTTTATGTGGCATGTTTTCTTTGGACATGGTAGAGAGTCAATAAGTGGCATATGGTAGAACCAGACATTGAGTTGGCATAAATAAAAATGATTTAGGAGAAAAAACCAAACCATAGAGACAGAAATTAAAATTTAAACCCTGACCAAATCATTGGGACTAAAATTATAATTTAACCGTTATGGATGCAATTTCATCAATTAGTTAAAACTTAGGACCACACCAAGATATACAGCAGATCAGCAGGCAAATAAAGGTCAAAATTCTAACGTTCGTGTGTGTAGATATGCAGTATATAAATATGACTATAATATCAAGGAATTTACCTTGCGCAATTCTTTCCAGAGGAGCAGCCAGCATCTTCAATCAAATTGCAAATAGCAAAAGCTTAGATAGATGACCATGAATTCCCAGAAGAATCGTCTTCCCTCACAAATCCACCATATTGGTACTGGGCGCTGTCTTTATAATATGACAGAATAAAGATTCAAATATGGTGAAGTGAAATTCAATTCAAACAAAGATAAACTTAGGGTACACAATGGATACAAATAGTGGTCCTATGGTGAGTTTGAAATCCAATGAGAAAGCATTCTTTCTCATCCTTGACGCGGTTGGTAAGATTTATTGTGCTAGGAGTGGGAGTGAAACTAAAAGGTTAAGAATCAAACAACCCATTTTTGTAGCATAAATTCCAATCTGAGTCCCGTGAAGCGCCCAAGCCACCTCCATCCGTGCTAATGGATTCCGCACAAGAACATGGTAGTTGTTGATGAGACACTATTTGTTTACAATTTTCATATGATTTGGTCTTGTCACTTATTAAACAAGAATTGTTAGTCACCATAGGATCAGCCCCACAATCATTGTGTTCCAGATGAGTCTCAAGGTTATCTGACAAGCTAATGTTACAAGAATCTGCAGTCTCTTCTTCTTCATCTGATAAGCATCGGCAACTATCAAACTCGTCCATCTCGTAGATACGGCTCATTAACCCTTCCCTCCATGATACTCTCATCTGGGATTTTAACAACTCCTCACAGGAAGAATTGCTATTCCTAAATGCCTGATCATCAAGAATCTTCTGAAATTGAGTAAGATCCATGGAGTTGGATATTGTGGCCAGACAATCAAATTGGAAACTCAAATCTGTTGTACTCATTATTGCTTTAGGGCTGTCCCGAGATAGATTTGCTAGTGAGAACAATTCAGACCATGAATTCTGATCATGTTTCTCACAACTTTCTACAGATAACCACGGAGGGAAAACTTTTTGAGCTGAACTTGAGTCTGATTGTGGTGTCCGGATGACATTTTCACTACTTAACGAATCCATTGAGAATGGAGAGTTCTCCTCATTGAGTTGATACCTTTGTTGTCTTCTTCCCTCATTTAAAATAACATCCAAGCAATTAGGAGCGCATGTGGGAGATGAGGGAACTGGATCCTGAAAGGGTAACGGCTCCAAGAAACCTTGAAACTCTGGAGGACTGTACACGTCCGGAGGAAGAGCATCAACGGATGACGGTGAAGGAAGAGAACAAAGTGTGATGGACTCTGGAAGACTCTCGGACTGAGGCGAAGTATTTCGAGACTTGTCTTTCTGATCCTCATCCACCTCATTGCAGGGGGACAAAAGCCAATTCATAGAAGCTCCAATGGGTGAAGGGACCTTTAAAACAGCTGAAATAGTCGTGTCCCTTGTGATGCTTCCATCTTCTTCTTCTTCTTCATTATCAAAATTCTGAATAGGCTTGAGTTTAGAAATGGAGGTAGCATTCTCTCCGACAATGAGAACCCCTCTTGGTCTGCACTTTCTCTTATCAGAGATCCCAGAAACTACGTAGCCAGCACCATAGCAAACAGGTGTAACTGCAGACACGAGGGCTGAATCACATTGTATTTCTGGCGATGCAGAGGGTTGAACAGGAGGTGTTTTGCTACGACTTGTGTTTGAATTTTCCTCTACGGCCTTGTCAACTGTGGAATCCAAATCTGAGCCGTTCTCCATTTTACGCAGGGGAGTGAAATTGAAAGCACTGGAATATAAACTAAGCTCAGAAGGCCGACATTTATCATCAACCATCCTCACTAAACCATGTTTCTCCAACTCCTCACCATCAGATTCCAACTTTTCCACAGTCGCTAGAGAAGACATTTGAGACTTTTGGCTACCTACTGGACCCGGTTTCTTCCCGGATTGCCACCTATACAAACAGGGAGAGTTTTTCTTCAACGTCTCCGACTTGCTCGAGCTAGGTTTCGAAGGCCTAGAATCGTGTTTAACAGCGCGTTTGGGAACATTCTCCTTTAGCGGCTTAGATCTAATAGGTTTAATCGAGCGTACATTTGAAGTGGATTTGGGGGTTTTGGAAGATGCTTTAAGCCTATTAGCGGAAGAAGAAGAGGAATGAGAAAGAAAGAACCTGAGGCAGCCTCTGGGGGCGTCAATGGAGGCGGAGGAAGTGTCACTACTGATACTGGCGCTATTGCAGGTAGTGGTGCTGCCGCCGCCATTGCCGGTGGTGGAAATGCCATTGAGAACATGCAAGGGGCTTCGAAGACCCTGCTGCTGCTGCTGCTTCTTCTTAGTGGCGTGGATTTGGGAGGGAGGCGAAGACGAAGAAGGGTTCAGGATTACGTTGGATGGAAATGTAGGGCTCATCTGCGAAGGGATGGAAGCTGGTTCTGGAATCTGGAAGTGCTAGCGAGAGAGAGAAATGAAAGCAGATCTGAGAGTGAGAGTAGTGTATAGAGGAACTGTAGATGCAGTTTTTGAAAACAGACTGCTGGGGATTGGAATTCTACTGTGTGCCTTTTGTTCAAATCAATTTCAAATATTGACCCCAATTTTGTTTCGTATTTACTCAGCTGCCCCCTGGCCTCACATTTGGGTAATCTCATATTCTCAACTATGAAGTTTATTATATTCTATTTTAAATTTAAATAAAGGGTAAAGTTAATTTTTTTTTTCTCGACTAAACTATATTTTATTAAAATATTCCCGAGCTTCATTTATATCCTATTATTTTAAAAATTTCATTTTTTCCTTCGAACTTTAGAATTATTTCAAAACAACCCTTCGGTCTTCTTCATTGAAAATTGCTCAAGAAAAAGAAAAAGGAAAAAACCTTCTTCGTTGACAAGTTAACACAAATGTGACTGTCCACATAATCATGAATTTTAATCTGTTACATGTGGGAATATGTAGTTTCAATTACTTTGGGATAAGTTTCAATTATACTCCTATCATTTCAAAAATCTCATTTGAATTCTTAAATTTTAGAATTATTCAAAAACAACTTTTGTATAGACCTTTTCGTTAATATAAAGATAGAAATTTAATCTGGATATCCCTGACTAATGAGTAGGTTTGAAAAAAGATCTTAGAGTGTGTAGGATTAGGCCAGGAGGATTTCTTAATGCCTTCTTTTTTCTTCTAGTTTCAATTTTTGCAAGATACTAAGATAAGAAAAAATATCAATTTCGATGTTGTGATTAGATGTAAAAAATTGAAGTGTATTTGTTACATTTGACACGTGACATTTGAAGTAACAATTTGGAATTAAGATTATTCATTCTGTCAGAATTAAAAAAGATAGGGGAGGAAACAAAATTTTAGCAAACCATGGACGACAGATGAAATTTAGGACCTCACACTCGAGATTAATTTCTAAAAGTTAGGGCTAACAAAGAAAAACCCGGGAAAACCAAACCCAGGGGACTAAAATGCTTGACAAGTTTCTTACCTTTGACAATGAAAACCATCTGTCTCCATCAGTCAATCTTTAGCTTCCATAGACACATGTTTTCTGCACACCTTACTCTTCCATAAATCTATATTCAAATCTTTTCACTGCACACCTTACTCTTCCATAAATCTATATTCAAATCTTTTCATATTTGAATGTTCCACATCCTTGTAGCGTATATTTTATGAGTTCATTTAAATTATTAATTTCAATTTATTTATATTTTTTAAATCAATATTATATTATTGAAATTCTAAAATTTTTATAATTTGATTAAAATTAAAATTATAAATTTTAGAATTAATTTTTTAGATAAATTGATAAAAAAAAATTTATATATAAGCTTTTCAATTCTAACTTCCCATATTCTTAATCAGTGGTCAATTTTATGAATGGTTTAAATTAATATTTTTAATTTATTTTTGTAGTATTGTTTGTAAATTTTACTTAACTATTAAAATTCCAACTTTTAAAATTATATTATTAACTTATAATTAATAGTAAAGTAGTAATTTATCAAATTATCAAATATGAAATTTTTGAAGGGTCTATTTTTTTTTTTCTTTTAACAAAATGAGAGGACTTTATTTATATGTGCATGTAGAGGTTTATTACTATTAGAGAAATTGTAGTGGATAGCAAAACTATTTCAAAATATGTCACCTCTTTTTAAAATTTTCAAATATAGCAAAAAAATGTCACTTATATCAGTAATATATCAAACACTCATATGAATAGTATATTAGATGTATATCAGATACATATTGTACACACTCATGTCAATAGTATATCAAATATATATCTCATATATATTGCAAGTTATCAGACACTCATATCAGATGTATATCACATACATATATCAGTAGTTAGATATATTACAGATGTGTATCATTTAAGTAAAGTTATCATTTTAAAATTGGACCTCTATTTTTTTAAGTGCTATATTATTATTAGTATTATTTTTTAGATCTGATTTTTTTTTATTTAAATGTCTATTAATATCATTTGGTTGAGAAATGTGAAAGAGTTTAATTTTAGAAAAAGAAAAAAATGTGAAATGTTTTTTTTTAAATGAAAACAAAAATAAAAGAAACAATTAAAGAGAAAGCCACACACGACAAAACCGTACCCAGACTTCCAAAACGCCTAAATCGCATACCTCCCCTGCGATTTCCTAAGTAAGCATATTTCTTCCTCTTGCCATGTGATCAGACAAAACATGCCGCAAGTCCCACGCCAGAAACAACTGGATTTCTTCAACAAATATAGCAACTTCCGTTAGATCCTAAGGGTCTCTATTGATGATTCATACTACTTCAACACAATCTGAATCCACTGCTAGGTCACAATTAGGTACATCTGATATGGTTATGATGACCATCAAGACCCTCAAGTCAACCTACTTCAAAAACAGTCAAGCATTAGAGAAGTACCCCAAAAAGAGGAAACCTGAAAATCTCAAGGGTCAAGACAAGTCACTGGAGCCATGAGAAAGCTAGAATTCCAAGAAGAATCAAGGAAGCATTCATGCCACAAGGATAGCACGAGTGCATCCAATGCAACGCCCAACGCATGCACTAGCGCGCAAACCTTGGCCACTAACCTCACAACGCATGCCTAGCACGTAAGCCATCTATGGAGTAATCTTGCAAGTGCAAGCCAGAACCCACGCGTACACTTCACCCAGTGATATACTCAACCCTACCACAAATGACTTACACAGCCCTTGTATGAATAAGACCTCTCAAACACACACGGCAACACCTAAAACACACACAAAGAATCACCCAAGTGGAAGAAGAAGGAACTTACCTAGAATGTCAAGGTTTTGGAAAGAGAGAGTTTGTTCTAGATCCAAAGGGAAAAACTCCACAAGTTTGATCACCAACCTAAACTGATACGTGACAACCCAAGTGTATGGATTACTCGAGCCTCTAGCCACTTGAATCCAATCATATAGATGGTTCAACCCAAAAGGGAAATGTTAGATAGATTATCTTTGTAGTCGATTACCTTGAGCAGACAAATAGCTCACTATGCTCGAGGTTAGAAACACTCGAGTTTGATGATAAATCAAACAAGCATACTCCAAGAGTAAAATAATGCAATCCTAAGTTCAACCACACAAAGGAAAACAATATTTTTTTCGGGGGGAGAGGGGGTTGCACGAGGTAATTTGGGAGAAACTCCATCAATTCTATTGGAAAATCAATGTCTAAAGTCTATCTTGAAACAAAGGGAAACATGCATATTTATAGGCCAAGGCGAATAGCCTTTACAAGATACGTTGCAAAATAGAATAATCCTAAAAATCTAAGGAAAATAAAATTTAAACAAAACACTTCCCTAATTTCAAAAAAACTGGTGGCATGGTAGGCGCGCGTGAAGAGCTACAGCGTTGGCGTGGGCGCATGGGCGTGTTGGGTGTGTTGCCCTAAACTCGTAGTTGTATTCATGTAAAAACAAATTTTATTCAATAAATTTATCGTTGACTCATTGCAATTATCTAATCCAATAAACTAAACATACAAGGTTATTGTCATGTAACCAAGACAGTATATATACTGAGTATATGTTTGATATACCCTCGATATACAAGTGGATAATGTCCCGAGAATAACCTAAAGGGTTTATGGTATATGGATAAGGCTGGGTACCTTATCTTGGCAACACTATGGGCGGCCCACTTTGTAAATGTTACAGACGACCCGATTCAAGTCGTTCGTGTAGGAGTATCCTATACAATGAGTTTGTATAAGACCGAACCACGAAATAGTCAATCTTTAGATGTAACGTTGTTGATTAATAGATTGCTATTTCATACGATGACCAGGCAACTCATTCTCAATCCTGAGTGAGTTGTGGACTCCTACCCATGAGGGCTCGTCTTTTGATCTGTATGGGTGAGAGTGGCCCGAATCGCCAACTCAACATTCTTACCATTTTGGGACGAGATCGAGTGGGGAGTTGGGAATATAACTTCACAAGATGGAATTCACTCGTCCCCAACTTTAGAAGAGTAGATGAGTGTTCTCTTAAATGCTGACTCCGCAACTTGAACAAGGGGCCCCACCCTCTCACTAGTTCGAAAGAGACTTTCGGTTATTGGTTGGACCATAACCGGGTTGTTCATTAGAGGAACAGTGGTATTTAGGAGCAAGATGTAACTCAGGGGTAAGACGGTAATTTGACCTTGCTTGAGTTACGAGCACTTGTGAAGGATTGACTTGCCATTAATGGTTGTATGTCCGTGGACACGAAAATATTCTGCAGTGAGAAGAGTGCAGCTGCAAGTCTTTAGTGGAGTGACTCGTGGTTAACAAATGTTGATTAACTCGGTTAATGAGTTTGACCGATTAATCTCGTATCGTTTGAGCTTCTGATATGTAGGTCTGTTAGGTCCCCTTGCTAACTCACAACGGGTAAAACGAGGATCAAGTTTTTTGGAAAAATTTGAAATGTTCAAATTGCTCAAGAGATTATATATTTATGTTGATACATATATAATATAATATATATAGTTAATTCTAATTAAAACTATATATTATGAGAGAAATTATTTATGTTGGAAAAATTATTTGAGATTCAAATAAAATTACTATGAATATGATTCATATTAAAACTATAGGTTAAAAATAATGCGCATAAGATGTACATTACAACTAGTTATACGAGAGAAATGATTTTATAATATGATTCTATTTTGATAATAAATAATTAAGTGTTAATTATTTATTTAGTTAATATAATTAATTAATTAATTAATTAATTGTTAATTAGATTAATAATTAATTAATTAATAAGATTAATTAATTATATATATTAATTATTATTATTTATTAATATTAATTTAATTAATAATAAAGAAGATAAAACTCCCTTGCAAACCTGCAGGGGAGTGGAGAGTTACGTGACGTGGGGTAACTCCCTACGTCATGTGGTTTTTAGTTTTTGCAGAAGTGTTCAGCCAAAACAGAATATTGATCCTAAGAAACAAAAAGGCATTCTCTCAAGCTTTCTCTCTC